GAAATCGAGGCAACTTTGGTGACGTTAGCATATCATGGGTGATTAGTCCTGACTTTACACAAGATGTATTTCCTGTGCAAGGGACTATTTTCTTTGGCGATCAGGAATTTTCAAAAAGTATCACCATATACTCCCTTCCAGATAAGGTAAATGTTGTACTTGTCACTCTCCATTTTTCTTATTATAGTTGCTTAGTGTTTTTTTTTTTGTTTTTTTTTTGGTACCAGGGATCGAACTCAGGTCCTTGCGCTTGCAAGGCAAGCGACGGAACCACTGAGCTAAATCCCCGGCCCTGTTCTCATTTTTATAATAAGAAATGTAAGCTACCCAAGACAAGAAGAAATTCCTTTGAGAATATTGTTAGCTTTTAGAATCAACATTTGCTACCTGTTGTTTTTTGCTGAATTTCTCATGATGTAGGGCTATTCAACTAACAAAGACATTACAGACTATCTGATCAATCAGGATGTCTTCCCGGTCAAACCATAAATTACCTAGCACTTGTGGCTCACTCTACCTAAATCTCTCATTTTCTTGTTTATATTCCCTGAAAGTTAGTGAGAATGTGTTTCCTCATCTCAGGAAAGATTTGACTGAGCTTTACTATAGTTGCCCAGCTATTTTCTGTGTCAGAATAGTCGTTAAAAACTTGAAAATTCTATTATCTGGATGTTCCCTTAAATTATATATCCATCATTCATTTGTTAATTCAACAAATGTTTGTTTAGCACTACCCCATCCATGTCTTTAGTAAAGTACTTTATGTAAACTACCCTTAATCCTCACAATAAAATATCAAGGTGAGAGTTATATTTATTTTGCCTATGAGGAAGCAGGGTACACAAATCATGTGTGACAATGACAGGGCCAAGATTTAAACCTGTGGCTCCCAAACATTATTGGGCATAGAGAGGATCTCTGGGGAACTCTGACTTACCTAGGGTCCAGGAATCTGCATGTTAATAAGCACTTAAAGTGGTTCTGCGCTAGGATTGTTACTACATCTATATTGCTACACCATGAGGAGAGGGGAATCGCCTGGGAAAGGTTGAGGTCTCCTGAACTATGTCACTGGGATTATTAAAGGTGCCCTTCTCTCTAAATAAGCAAGCAAGCTTGGCCCTGAGCTGCCAGTACCTTCCTTTTCCAGGTTCTCAATGCCTAAATAGACCTTGCCCAGCTCTATCTATGCAGTCCAACACTTCTGTATTTTTATAATGCTTGTTGAAGGAATGAAATCTAGCAGTATAGTAGAATCCATAGAACCAAGGCTATATTTCATGGCTGTCCTAGTTTTGAGGAATAACTTTCTGCTTCTACACCAACCAGCCAGCACCACAAAGCCACGATTCACAACACAAGACATGTTGCCTGGAACAAGTCACAAAAGCCCAGGGTACCAACCTTGAGAGAAGTAAGGCGGCAGGGAGGCACTCTGTGGAAAACTATTGTTACTGTGGAGACAAAAAGAGAATGGATTATAAGTTGAGCTTAGGTGATGAGACCAGACTGGGGAGTTGGTTTAAGAAGCCAGACTAAAGATGCTTCTTACTTCTTGCTGAAGATAAGATAAGGCACGTGGGAAAGAAAGTCAGCACCGGATGTTGCTGCATCAGGAAGGGACAGTGTTTACAGGAACTGGGATGGGGAAGGAGGGTCTGTGAGGACCCTGAAATGCTACCTGTTCCCTCCATCCTGAACAGTAATACCATACCCATTAGCCCACATTGTCAGTAAACGCCTGCTCAGCACTGCAGCTCATATGGGTGATAATTTTCAAGAATGAAGGATGGGCTTGGGCCCAATGCCAGATGAAGCCATATGAGAAAATGACACATGGCAAAAAGAGAAAACCAGCTGAAATAATGAGAAGAAGCTGGGAAAAAGTAAGGGCAAGGGACACCAAGGAAAAAATGAAAAATTTTGAGAATCTCCCTAGATATGAGACAGAGTGGACATGTCTTGCTGGTGGTTAAATTTTCTACAGTATGAGGACTTGGACTTCTTCTTCTGACTATTAAAGGTATGTTGGGGGACACCATGAGGCAACCCATTGGCTTGTTTGGGGACAAATGATTTAGGTCTTTCTCCTATTCATGCCTCTGCCTCTGGGCAGCCTTCTTATGAGCCCTGAGAGACTCTGCTGCTATTGAGAAAATGGGCTTGCTGGGGACAAAGCCTGTGCAATGAATTCTTACCATCTGCTAAGTACAAGACACACTTCTTAGCCTCCCTATCAAAGATGGAGGAGGAACTCCAAGTACTTTAATTGGCTGGGTTTCTTAATATTTGATGTTTGTTTATTTGTTTGATTAAATTCATAATGTGAAAACATTCCCCCATCTTCTGCCAAAGTGTCCATTCCATCTGGGATGGAAGATTGCGATCTAAGCACAGATACAGGGAGGATAGCAGTGGCTAGCATGTTGTTCCTAATGCTCAGCTTAGTTTTGTTTCTTTAGGCCCCAAATGTTCAGACACTATTACCTGTTGGCTCATTTCTTTCTTCCTAAACCCATGTGGCATCACCTCAGTGTCAGGTGGATCTAGACATTACATTAAGTTAGAATTTAATTACCATAGCTACAAACCTTTCTGAGAAAGCTCCAGGCATGTGAGATGGTGGGAAGGAGTGCTTGGAGTTTGGCTTAGTATATCTTGAAGGAAAAGTATTGGAGCTCATAGAAATGAGTGCTGGCTGGGGCAAAGGTCTTTGATGTACTGTGAGAGAGAAGAAAAAACATAAGGAGACTGTCAGGATACCCTAGAAACATTCTAGAACTGCTCTGCAGTTAAAAAACAGTTGATGTAAAATAAAGAAGATATAAAAATCCAAAAGATCATCAATGCTTCCTTTTTTTTTTTTTTTTTTTGGTACCAGGGATTGAACTCGGGTCCTTGCGCTTGCAGAGCAGGTGGTGAAAACAATGAGCTAAATCCTCGGCAAAAATCCAAAAGATCAGATCTACTTAGAGAGTTGTAGGTTGGCCCAAAGTTTTTCTAAATGATTTACCACCTTAGAATGCATTTATAATGCATTATATTATATCTATAGCACATGTTTTATTTTCTCATTTTTGAAATGCTGTCTTGGCATAAAATTGTCAACTGGAAACCTTATACATTTCTAAAATGATTCACAAGTTTGGTTTCATTTTATGAAAGCTAAAATTTTGTGCAATCTCATTCACCCACACTTACTGATTCTTTACCAACATGTGCTAGAGGGCATAAATATTAGAGAAATTTATCTATCAAATCATTCATGTAAATTTAATTTTTTACTGTACAATTAGGCAATTTGCATTGTTACACATGAACTTAAAATTTCTCTTTGGTAACCCAACAAAAATAATTCCATTTTACTATAGCTGTTAAGTATATCAATTGACATATATCTACTTAATATTAATTTAAGAATCATAATTGATTTTGGGGGATTCCCATACTAAATCATTATCTGATTTTTATCTGAATGCCTGAGCAGAAAAAATAAGAAAATAAGATACAAGTTGTAGGAAAGCATTTCTGAACATACCATCATCTTCATCCTAGTAAGGGGGAAAAAAAGAAAGATATTAACTTACAATTGAAGCACAATCCCTAAATGAATAACTCTATTTCTCAATCATGTAAATGTGTGGTTCTTTCTTTAGCAATTATGGCTTTCCATAATAAATATATTTTAGAGGAGAGTAGAAGAGTTTTCTAAGTGGTCTATAATTTTTTAACATGAACAATCATCTAAGGACACTCCAATCTGAAATTTCCTCATACATTTATATTGAATAGGTTCTGAAGTTGCTAAAGGAGCTCAAAGATATAATATTTACAATATCTATGATGTACCTAGAAGATTAATACTCAATATTTCATTCAACTTCCCTTGCAACCCTTTGAGAATATGACATCTTTATCTTACAAATAGAAACATAATGCTCAGGAAGAATTCCTTACTTACCAAAGGTTGCAGAAAATAGATTCAATCCCAAATCTATCTGCCCCAAAGCTCAGCCTTCTTTTTGTGTCTCCTTAGCAATGTCCACACTCCTTAAAAGCTATCTGACCTTACTTATTTATAGTGTGGCTTACAAGGTGCATCTACAATCCTCACCATTTTTATATTCAGGGCCACCATCTGAAGTAGAAAAAGGAAGGTCAATTTTCTCTTCTGAGATAAGAAATGATGTTCAGAGAGACAGAGAGATTTTGCCATTGACTAGTAGACCAAATGGGCCAACTTGAACATGTCTGTTAGACCAGACCAGTGGTGATGAAATAACACTTTCCTCAAATTGTTATTGTGAGGATTAAATTAGTAATTGCATGTGCCTGATATATATTAAGTGCTCTTTAATTTACGTTTACTAACACAGGTCCTACAACACATTGACACAAAGCAAGGGGGACCACAGAATCACTCATCTCGAAGGGCCAACTCAGAGCTCCTGCAAAAAGCTACATAAATAAACACACTTGGGCTCACAATCTTCTCACAATGACATCGCTTTCAACACTTACAACGATGACCCCTCTGCTTTAAGAATATACAACTTCTCAGGGCAGGGATTTAGCTCAGTGGCTCCGCACCTGCCTCGCAAGTGCAAAGTCCTGAGTTTGATCCCCAGTGCCACTGAAAAAAAAAAAAACTTCTGGAAATCAATCCTTCCAGAGACTAGATACCCAGATACCTCAGGTACGTGATATTACCCTCACCTTGCTACCTCCACCATGACTCTGTCTCTCTGCAGCCAAGCTGCTATCCTTCAATGCACCCAGGCCTCCTTTTAGGGTGATCCTATCCCATGTTCTCCTCATCATTCAATAACCATCACAAATCTTACCTCCTCTAAGCAGTCACTGTTGGCTCCTTGACTCACATGAAACACTCTCTTCCCCTTCCACAGATCATTCTATGACTGTATGCTGTCTGATGTGTGAAGGGAGTGCTTGGGTCCATAATAATACAGCACTTCATTTGAACAAACACAGCATCTAGCACAGAGCTATGAAAACAGGAGCCAGTGCTAGCTGAGCATTTGATCAACTAAGCAGGAGTCTAATGGCCTTCAGAACACTTTAAGTGTGGAGAAACTCAGATCTGAACTCAAATCTGTTTGGGTTTTTTTTGGTACTGGGGATCGAACTCGAGTCCTTGCACTTTCGAGGCAGGTGGCAGAATCACTGAGCTAAATCCCCAGCCCAATGCTATCCCTATCTTTTTTTTTTTTTTTTTTACTGGGGATCAAACTTGGGTCCTTGCGCTTGTGCAGCAGGCAGTGAAACCGCTAAGCTAAATCCCCGGCCCTTGAACTCAAATCTGGTTGTTTACTAGCTGAGCAAATTTCAACAAGTATCTTATCCTTTCTGAGCAATCTCTTTGCATTTATAGAGAAAGGGTCCTGCATTCCTTAAAGCATAAATAAAGCTGGGAATAACCAACTTCTCTGGTTTGTCTGGGACTGAAGAAGCTTCAGGGGTGTGGGACTTTCAGTGCTAATAAGCACCGGGAAAGCCTCAGCAAAGAGTTGGTCACCCTACAGGAGCATTAGATAATGCTATTTCCCTTCTTTTTCAGGTCATGGAGATACTTAAAAAAAAAAAAAAACCAAAACAAAACAGAGGCCTTGGAAACTGTGTAATGCAGACTCTTAGGCATCCCTCTCTTTATGATCTCTTCTACTTTCTGCCCCTTCACCTTGCTGATAGGGTAACAGAGCTCCAAATAACCCAGCCTCCCCGGGAGCTGAGCAATGCAGCATGATGAGCTCCAGGAAATACCAAGACTGCAAAGACAGATGCACTTATATTCAAGAGTCTATTATGTGTACTCCAAGGGGGATATACTGTAGTCCAAACCTCCAAGAGCCTACCCTGGTCCTCCCCAGCCCAGCCACTTATGGAATGACATTTTGTACTTACATTATCTCTTCTGTCTACTCCCCATCCAGGCCTGAAATGAATTAGGGCAAAGAGAAAGAAGTAAGCGTCAAGAGTTTCAAAGAGCCAGCCTTGAAATATAATTTCCTAAATCTCCTAAGAAAAAATCAAACCTTCTGAGCCATGGCTAAAGGGGAAGTTGCAAATACCAGCAGAAAGCCAGGGGAGAGGGAGTGGAAGGGAGATTTGGTTACTGAATGTTCTGTCATCACTACAAGCTGAGCTAGGCAAATCCTTATTCTGTGTAACTACTGCAGCATATATACATATATAGTGTGTGTAGTCAGCAGTCTAACTCTTTTGCAGCTATTAGATTTCACTGAGTAGGTGTTTCTGCAAGCAAATGAAAACATTTTAGGTAATATTGTTCTTTGCTAATGTTTCAAAGCAGCCATCACAGGGTCTACCTTTGGAGTAATGAGAACGCGGTTGGAAAATGTCACTGCTTTGGGACTTTTCCAAAGAGGGCTCGGTGCAGTTGGCTCAGATGAACAAGCCAGTCAAGCAGACTTGGAGACAGCTGCCTGAGTGCTGCAGCAGACATCTGTACCACCTGGGCCACATCATGGTTTTAGGGAGAGAGGAAAGAGGAGGACCATTTATTGAACAGCTCTAAGGTGTCAGGTGTTTCACATCACCTCACTCTGTGTTTACTGAAAATTTTGACATTTTGGTCATTATGATTAGTTGCATTAATTTTGATTTTTTTAAATGATGCATTAAAATATTATTAAACTCCATTACTGAGGGTTTTGGTTTTTGGCATGCCCTAGTCCTGGTCCTGATTTAATCCTAACGACAGTCAAGCGAGGCAATCGTTATAAATCCCAATTGCTTAGAAAAGGTAAACAGAAGCATGATTGTATCCTTCCTAAACCACAGGGTTGGCTGGGACACCAGTTACGTTTGTGCCATTTGGTAAATAGGATCCAAATTTCTTTGTAGCAAAGTTAAAAATATTAGAGCAGATCTCAGGATTCTGCAGCTATGAAGTGATTGAATAGTATGGTGACCTAAAAATCTCTCCCAGTTTTTTACCTCTCTCTGCTATCTGTATTGAGAGATGAAGTGATAAGTTCAGAACCTATGCACTGTGAAGACTGCTCTTACTGGGTAGGAAAAACCTAGCACTGGACTAGTTGAAGACAAGATCTCCACATATAGTCCTCATCCCATACACCCAATTAAGCATTTCTTTGCTCATTTCTCAGCAAGATTTCCTTTTTCTTCAAAGAGACCCTTGTACTTGACATCCAATCTGAGATACTTAAGCCACAGCAGCCAAAGGGGTCCCTCCTGCCTGGGAGCATGTCTGTTTCCCTGTAGAGTTGACATAGGACAAAGTCCCCCATTTCATCCACTCTGTTTGAAGGACAAACTCAAACAATACAAGATAGTTACTTTGGTACAGGTGGCTTCTTCCCTGGCAGGGGGCTACTTCTTTCATGTCTGTCGGTGGTTGGTGGTAAAGGAAGCTTTTGTATCTTGGGTAAATGGTCCCCGGGAGTCCTGCCGAGTTCAGAGAAAGGATATGTAAGAAGCAAATTTAACTGCCTTGGCAGAGTTCTCCAGCAAATGCCCTGTGGCCTTCCCTAGATGCAACACAGCACCTTACCTTCCCACTGGAGCTGAGGGCTGCAAGGTAGAAGAAAAAACATGTGAGTGGCTAAACATTTCCTGAAGAATAGGTCAAGATGTAAAAACACCAAAACAAAACCAAAACTAAACCAGAAGAACAGCTTACCTTGTCAGAAAATGTTGGTTTCTTTCCTGTAAACAACAGACACAGGCCCTTAAATTTAGGACATGATGATCACAAGGCATAAAATCAGAGTTTGATGCAACCATGAGCAGAAGGGGACTGACTGAGTTTAAACACCGAAGAGTCGGAGATGTTTGGATTGGCTAGGGTCCCTTACAAAGCACCTAATTTTACAGGCTCAAAACTATTAAGTGGCTTCTCTGAGGTCACGTCGGTTTGTGTACAAAGTATTGTGGGTTCTATGCTTCTTTTCAACATCTGATTTAATATAAACAATGATCAAAAGATTGATGTTTTCTTGGGATTTTGTGTCTCTTTTATTGGCTAATGCGTTCTTTGCATGGCCCAAGTTTTATGCGCAGACCTGAAATAAACTCACATTCAATAGAGGTGGTATATGTTCAGCCCTGTGGTACAGTTGGCTTTATGTAAAGTACTCCAGTTAGTTTCTGAAACATCTTTTAACTTGGGGTAGTAGCTTTCAAAAGACTCTCCAGGTATGCTGCAAACAACCCATTTTTGTTATTGGTGATGGTAGGTTTTATTTGTTTGCTTCTTTTATTTTTCTTTGAGGACAGCCTGTCGGAATTCTCCATGTCCAAGTTACCAGCGCAATTTAATTTTTATTCCATCTGAAGTCCTATTGAAGAAGTATGCCCTTGACCTTCACGTTATGAAAGTATTACTAATTAGACCCCACTAGTTCTAGAAGCAAATCCCATATTATTTTGAACAATGCTCAAGTTCAATTGAGTTTTGTTATTATTATTATTTGTTTTAGATAGAGTCTCACTATGTAGTTTAGGCTGGCCTTAATCTCACTATTGTAGCCCACTCTGGCCTCAAACTCACAGCAATCCTCCTGCCTTAGCCTTTCTAGTGCTGGGATCACAGACATGCACCACCACACCTGGCTCAATTAAACATTCGAGTCTCCATTTCCTCACCTGTAAAGGGCAAAGATAGATGAAATCTGCATGGGTTTGCTACAAAGGGACAGATGACAACCTATATGGAAGGTCATGGGCATGATAGGTGGGTATTAAAAGATATTAGCTATCTCCTCTTTCTTTCTCTCTCTCCCAAGCCGTGCAGTTAACACCCTAAGGTGAATGGTCATACCGTCTCCCTGGAGATGCATTTTTTTGACATGATTTATTCTTAGGGACTGAGTGTAAATCAGGCCTGACATGGTAGGTTCTAGGAGCACTGTTCCACTGTGAAGAGCTCACTGCCTAATTGAAGCGAGTTTTGATGGTATGAAAGATGTCTATTATTTACAAAGCTTAGCTTATGGTGGAGTGCTTATTTTAAAGGGGTACCTTGTAACTTACATTTATATCCTTGAGCACGTATAGATTTTTTAAGAATCTGATTTATGTGTATTCTCTGGGCATGTTAGGAGTCTCATGTTAAAAGTCTAAGCATCAAAAGAGGATTTCTTCCAAAACATCATGAACAAGGTAGCAATTCAAGACTCAAGAAGTATTTTCAGGCCGAGGATTTAGCTCAGTGGTATTGCCACTTGTCTTGCAAGCGCAAGGTCCCAAGTTTGATCTCCAGTACAAAAAAAAAAAAAAAAAGAAGACGTATTTTCAGGAAAAGGTGTTTATAATAGGATTTTTTAAATAGACAAAAAAGAAATTAAAAAAATAACTTGTTATGTCAGGAGATGATTGTGAAGGCTTTGGCACCAGTATTCCACATGCCCGATGCCCTGACTCTTGACAGTGAGCAGAGCTACAGTCTGAAGTCAAGTCCATCTTCATTCCCACAGAACTTGTACAGCTCTCTGCAGTGGACTATGCTAACCCCACACAGACACCAACCCGGCTTTGCATGGCTCAGCGGAGCTGTGATGCAATTCAGGTGAACAGCAGCAAGCAGCAGGTTCAAATCCAAAAACTGAATCATTTTGCTACAATGGAGGAGAGGAAGCCCACAAAAGGCTAAATGCCCTGTTCAGAGTACAGCTGAGGAACTGCTGGGAGGGAGCCAGGATTCTGGATTCCCTATTCATTCAATTTCAGGACTCCTCCCTCAGATCCACCCAGTGCACAGCAAGTTAAAACCCGAGTTAGCACCTCCTTTGAAGTCAGAAAGATATGGGTTCAAATTTTGCAACTATTTATGCAAATTTGGGCAAATCATTCAGCCTCTCTGATCATCAGTTACATCATCTGAGAGGTGGGGATAACAATACACCCCATGGTTGGGTTGGCATAAGGATTGGAAAAAATGTTGATAAACTATTTGAGGTAAGTGAAGCACTCACCCCACAGTAGGTGTGCCATAAATGGTAACTGTTTTAGAACTGAATTGAAAACGGCTCCATGTGAAGGTAGCCGGAGTCAGAATATTCTGTGTAAATTGTGGAGGGAAAAGACTTGAACAGCACCTTAGAGTTTCATGAACCATTTCCTCCTTACAGAACATCCACCACAAATAGGAAATTGTGCTCTGAAAAAGAAAACACCCCTGTGGGTCAATGAGCTATTAATTAGCAGCCGAGGAGAAACAACAATGCTCCTAGACCTCTTATCTCTTAGCTCATCTCCTTCCTTTGCACCATGATGCCTCCTGCTGTGTCTTGGCTGAAGGGCAGTGAGTTGCGTGGACACAAATCGTGCCCATGGAGGACCAGCCCTGGCCCCAAAGCAGGTTCTCTACAATCGGGTTGATCTGGGTTCACCCCCATCACTTGGTTGCTGAGTGATTTTGAGAAGTTACTTCTTCGTGACTCAGTTTCCCTCTGTAAAATGAGGCTGATTCTCATAGCCAGTACTTCCTCCTATTGTGGCACTAGTTAAATGAGATTGTATATAATAAAAGCACATAGTGAACACTCTGAAAATGTGAGCCATTGTTATTATGCATCAAATATCACTCATACCTATTGTGAAGGGCTCTCTGTCCAGCGGGGCTAAAGAACGATCTAGGGGAGGTTTTGTTCTTCTATCTATAGACGGAGCCGGCACTGGAAGGGAAAGGCTGCAGTCAGAAGAAAGCCAGTGGCAGGGCCAGGGGTAGGGGTGGGATGTTGGCCAGGAGAGAGCAGCCTCATGCTTACACTTTGCTGGTTTGTGGTTTCGACTTCTGTTGGACTCTTCTTGGTTGGGCTGGGGTGGGGGCAGTGGCTGCACAGAAAAAGATCCAAGCATTAGGAAGGATTTCCAATGCATCACTGAGACCTGGTGGCTTTATCTTCCCCAATATGTGTTAATCTATTCACTTTCCTCCATCTTCATGTTCCACCAGCAAACGGCCATATGCATTTCTCAGCAGAGCTATGTGGCAGCCTCCCATCTGAGCCTGCTTTTTCTCCCTCTCTCAGACAGTGGATTTTCCTCAGGACAGTGGAGTAGCCACTTAGCCAGTCCCTGCTAAGCCCTCCAGTGGTTCTGATTATATTAGAAACAAACCAGAAACTCACTGTGACCTGCAGATTCCTCCCCGAGTTGACACCTGTCCACCTTTCCATCCCAATTCTGACTCACTGGACCCCCACCCTACAGGTATTCTTGAGGTTTCTGGAAAACCTCAAGTTCATGTCCTGTTGGATATCTCTGTTCTTGTGTTTCTTCTGCCCAACTTGAATGTTCTTCTCCCAGCTCTCCCCGAATGTCTCATTCTGTCACAGCTCCATGTCACCTCTCTACCAACCATCATATTCCCTGGGCTTCTGTCTCCCTAACCCACATAACTACTCAAATCATTTCTACAGTTGTTTACTTGTTTATTGTCAGTCTCCCTCGGCCCAATTAACACTTCATGCAAGCAGGGACTTTATTGATTTGTCTTGCCCACACTCATCCCCAGCACCTAGAATGCTACCTGGCCAACAGCAGCTGCCCAGGCATTGTCTGCTGACTGAATGAGTTCTGCATCCCAAGAGTGGAGGTGAAGGCCTTCAGATTCCGAAACAAAAAATGTTTATAAATAAATTTGGCTCCAGGAATACCCTTTCTATATTGCTACACAGCAGGAGGGAGCTATTATTGTCAGATGGAAGGTCCTCCACTGTGGTGCAGTCTGGATTTTGAGCTTTGGGGAAAATATACTGTCTCGCTCCTTCTGTTCCTGAAACAGTGGCATTTGTGACAGTTATTAAAATGTGTAGGTCACTGCCAGGTATAGCTGTGCACGCCTGTAATCCCAGTACTCCAGAGGCTGAGGCAGGAGGATTGCCATGAGTTCAAGGCCAGCCTGGACTACATAGTGAGTCGTCTCAAAAATATAACAAAACAAAACATTCAGGTCACTGATGAAGAGGATACATCTCTAGCTATCAACTCCTTAGTCTGAGCTTCTCAAAGTCACTCTGAGAATGCATTAGATTCACAGGAGCTGTATCACATGCTCGAGGGAAAGGAAAAAGAGTCTGCTGCTGCCTCCTGTTCCCCCTGAGCTGTTTGTATCTCAAATCTTGTTATCTGAAGGTGTTTGTCACTGGAATTCCAGGCTCTAGACAGCAGGTGGCGCAAGTCTTTTTGCAAAACAGAGGGGAAGTCTCAGGACTCTTGGAGCACCCTAAATGCCATGGCTTTAATTTACTTCTCTAAAAGCTTATTTTAGTTTTTGCCTATTGCAAATAATGGTAAATTGTAGCACAAGGAATACTGGAAGGGGGCCTTTAATTATACAAGTAGCTTATATTGTTATGGCACAAAGAAAATACCAATAGGTATTATGATGTGCATAAAAACCACTAGTATTTCAACCCCCTGACAAGAAACACTGAGTCCTCGGGTATGCATTTTCCCAGTCTAGATATAATCTTTTCTTACAAAGTAAGAATTATAATTTTATTTTCTGTCAGGTAGAAGAAATAACCAGAGTGGATACAAAGTCCCATGAAGAAGGGGAGGAGACCTACTGAGTAATTGCGGCCGGTAGGCAGTGGAGGAAGGGCAGCCATTGGTCTCTGGGGAGGCACAGGAGGCTGCTGGGGTTTTTTTCCGGCGGGAGGCCTGTCTGCAGAAACATAAGAATATTGCAATGAGGGGAGAAATGGGAAACCAGGGTGAGCACCAGCCAAGCTCAGGGGTCTCCGGGAAAAGATGCTGTCTTCGACTTTGTGCAGCTCGGGGCACCAGAGACACCTGAGTTGTCCCTCACCCTCCAGACCACCACCCACCCCAGCCAGAAGACCCAGCCTGGGTCCCACAAGAGGTGAGAAACCCTTGACCCCCTGCCTGCCTCTCTTTCTGTCCCAGTTTGTTTTACTCTGCATACATGTAAGCAACTCTCATCTTATGTCATCTCTTATCAGAGATGTTGCCAATCAAAAAAGATCTCTTAGGAATTAGCTTATCCAATACAGAAAGGGAGTGTTTTTAGAAAAAAACTGTAAAAAAGTAAATGTACACATACTTCTACATGCTTTACATAAGACACACATGCATATGTAAGCACATGTATGCCTGCACAGACACACACACATATATATACACCAACACACATATGCACACACACGTGCACACTCACACAGCATGGCCAGCTGCCTGTGGGGGTTAAGCTGGCTATTACCACTCATGGAGATCCTGTTCTGTGTCCCCATCCTTCCCTTCACAAATGCTCTGGACTGTCTTCTCCCTCCCACTTCCTGTTTTATTCATCTCTTCCCTTACAGGAAGGAGCTGGCCACTGACTCTGTTACCAAGTCAAACAGTCTTAAATGGTGCGTGGATTTGCCTGGGACAGAAACTCACACTACATGTTTTCTGATTGTCACATAACTATCCCTTAGGGCAGTTTGACAGGCTGGTAGTTTCTTATCCTTTCAGTGGGGAAAGGATAGGACTGGGAGCCATGAGAGGCAAGGGAACCAGGGCCTTCTTGCATTTGTGTCCTACTCTAGGCCCTGGAGAGGCCTGCTCTTCCAGAGAGAATGGGCTCAGAGTGAGGGCATGCCTAGTCTCATCCCTCACCCGCACTGGCCATCTTTCAGTTTCTCTATGTGCCAAGTTGCTTCAGACTTTAGGGCCTTTGCCATTCTACTGCTCTGAATGCTCTTCCCTTGTTACATGATCTTCATTTAGCCAACTGTTAAATATTTAATATTCCTTAAAATCAACTTAATAACCATATGCTAAAGGAAACAAGCATCTCCTATAGCAGTATTCCTAATAATATGTCATGGTTTAATTAAATAATGTGTGACTCATTTATTCGATGCTACCTCATCCACTGGACTACCAATCTCTTAGACTGAGGACTGTGTAGTTCACCCAGTGTCTTTATAACTGGCACTTACAATGTGCCAAGAACTTAGTTTTCCATTTCTTCTCTGGATCTCAATTTCTCTAAATATGAAGCAGACTTGGTCTGATGTTATAGTATGCAGGTGTGTGTGTGTGTGTGTAAGTCTGTGTGTGTCTGTGTGTGTGTGTGTGTGTGTTTTCTGTCACCACCACTGGTAGAATTTAAACCCTACCAGACAAAGGCTATATTTTCTTTCCTGATGATTCCAGTACTTGGAATGGTGTCTGGATCATAGTAGGAAATTTGTCATTTTTGTTGAATGGATGGATGGATGGATGGATGGATGGATGGATGAAAATATGACAGAGAAATTTAGTTGGCTGAAATGATGAAAATCTTGAAGGCTATCTAAATGTTTTAAAGTTGTGTTCAGTACTTTAATGTTCACTCTGATGGTCTGTAGGTGGCAGTGCCACATAACTATGATTTGGTCCAAGGATGAGGAGAAATGGAAAAACACTCCAGAATACCTGAGTGACCCACCAAATAAGTTATGACTGTCAAGTATGCTTCCATGGTTGTTCAGTACTGATATTGGTCACTGCAGGCTATGGATTAATAATCCTCACAGCAAAGTTATGTGGTGTATACTATTGTTATCCTATTTCACAGACAAAGAATTGAAGCCCAGAGAGGTGGAGTCACTTGTCCAAAGCCACATAACTGTCAAGAAGCTGAGCTGGTATCAGTGTCAAGTGGTTTCTGGGCATGCCAGGCATCAGCCTCCCACAGTACAGTGCCAAGCTAGGCATGGGGCTGCCTGGGCTGGGAGGTCAGGAAGCAGCCCTTACCAATGTACATGGAGTTGGTGCTGGGGAAAGGCTTGGCAGGCAGGATGGAGTTCTGCAGAGCCTCCTCATCATTGGAGGGTGGAGGCTCATAATCAGCATCATCTTCCACAGGTGCCTCTTCCTCCTCATTGGGAGACTCGTAGTCTCCGTCATCCTCCCCATCCGGATCATCGTTGGGGCTTTCATAGTCATCTTCTTCCTGCCAACATAGTGTGGGAATGGCACAGCTTGTGGGAGCATCATGGCACTCTGTGTCAAGTGTATGTGCAATTTCTGTGTGCCTCACATTGGCACAGCCCAAGCATGGGGATTCCCACAGCACAGGTGAGGAGCTAACTTTGGGGAGTGCAACATCACAAGGCCAGCAAGTGACATACTTGCGACCTTGGTCCAGGTCCCTGACTATTAAGTGGGTGGGTTTTCCTCTGCTCCCTTATGTACAATGGAGAAAAGAGGAAAGGAAGACGTTACTGGAATGGGGATAGAGAAAGGGTCTCTCTCTTGCATAAACTCCTTTTTAAGTCCAGGCATCATCAAGAGAACGAATAAATGGAGATCAGTATGGCGATTCCTCAAAACTAAAAATAGACATTCCACTTAACCCAGCTATTCCCCTTCTAGGTATCTTCCCCAAAGAGTTAATAACATTGTATTCAATGAAGCCTGCATACCCATGTTTATAGCAGCACAATTCATAATAGCTAAATCTTAAAAACAGCCTATATGTTCATCCCAGATGAATGGATAAAGAAAATGTGGTATTTATACATAATGGAGTACTACTCTGACACAAAGAAAGATAAGCTTGAGTGATTTGTAGAAAATGAATGTACCTTGAAGCCATAATGTTAAGTGAAATAAACCAGACTTACAAGCTTAAATACCATATGATTTGTCTTATATAAGAAACCAAAAATGTAAGTAAGGAGCAAAATAAAAGGCAGATAATAGGAAGCAGGGAGATAGATTTTTGCAAAAAGGAAGGAGACCAAGAAATGGACAGGGGAACAGGGAAAGGGATGAAAAAAGAATTAAGATGTGCTGTGTACCTGTATCAACTCCTCACAAGGAATGGAATCATTATGTGCTGCAAACATGTACAGTACTAATAAAAAAATAAAAACTGAAAAAAATTCGGATCATTTGTGATGACACTAGTTAATTGCTATTTTTTGAGACAGGATCTTGCTATGTAGTTCAGACTGGCCTTGCACTCACTATGTTGTCCAGGCTGGCCTCAAACTTGTGGCTATCCTCCTACCTCAGCCTCCCAAGTGCTGGGATTACAGGCATGTGCCACCACACCTGGCTGTTAGTTGCTATTTCGGTTCTTAGTGTGCCTGTGCTCAAAAATTTACTTCTCATTATAACCGATGAAAGCACTGAAGGCTCAGCTACCGGGGGAACACAGATAACCAAAGCCTGGTCATGGGAAAGCAGATTAAGATGTGTCGAGGGAAGATGGTCCATGGCTGCGCTGTTCTTTCTGCTAAGAGTTGAGTGTATAAAAATGACAGCTTATTATTCACGATTCCCGGCACTGAGTTTGAAGACGTACGCTTGGAAAAGGCTTTCTAAAGTTTAGAGTTTTTGCTGTATTTTATTTTTTATATCTTTGTAGGTCTCAGGGAACAGAAGGCCAAGGTGACTGCCTTCGAAGCAGTCCGCAAAAGTGGACATCACTGGAATAATGTCCCCACAGAAGGGGCACCAAGTGACAAGTGGCTTGTCGCTGTCATGCCACAGTCAAGTGGGTGAATAAATGTACAAGGAGCTCTAACATCAAAGGCAGCATGAAAAGAAGCAATAGGAAGTTGCAGCTTTTTGACAAAAGGCGTGCACTATATCTTAGAAATCCTGGCAGCTTTGATAGACAGCTAAGGAAGAGTTTCTTTAAATTGTTCAACTGAAAGATTTCTGTGTTCACTTTTATCTTGAGGAGTATTTGAAAAACACAGCAACTAGAAAGGAAAGACGAAGATTAAATACCTCCCTAAAGTCTGAAGAAGGCAGTGTCTTGCACTGTCTGTGTTTCTTAAGCAGGTGGACCAAATATTAGAGGAACAGGATTTTGGAGCAATGGCTTCAGCTGCATACAGGTGGCCCCTCTCGCATCCCCGCTTTGTACGATGACAATCTTCTCTCCCTCAGCCTAACTAGCCTATACCCATCACACCAGTACCATTAGCCTTTCTCAATGACAGCCTTTCTCTCTGCTGAACTATGATTTCCCCCCTACCATTTGGCTCTTAGATATGCATGTATGTTTTTGTTGCCAATCACATTCTGCCATATGAATTATCCATACTGTGAAATGCTCACTTGGTTGGGTTCTTCCTCTCTGCCCATGTCCCTGTAGTCCCCTGTACAGAGCCTGATACATAATGAACTACCACATTTTATGACCACCATTAATCAGAAACCCTTGGGTTTTGAAGAGGATGAGCACTGAAGACTAGCCTCAGGCTGAGCACAGGAGGGTTCATGGCCAGCAGTGGCAAAGGGACAGCTTCTGTGCCAAAGCATTTTTTGGAAACTCTAGCCTTCTTTTCTCTTTCATACAAAATAAAATTATTATATTCATTTGTTCTCCCATAGAAAGCACAAACTTTGCTTATTTTTAAACTTTAAATGTTTCCATTTAGCAGAATTCTAATATAACAAAGGACATTTAGTGACTGGTTTCTAAGTGCACAAGAGGTAGAAAGACCCTGAGGGCCAGGTGGCCTGTGTCTCAGGTCTGTCTCTAATTAGCTATAGGGTTCTATATAAGGCTCGCACCCAGTGGGCTCAGTTGCTTTATCTGTAAAATGGACAGACTGGGCTATCATCCATCACAGAGTTCTTAGCCTGGGTCTAGTTTCATGGGTGGTGACTACATGCAGTTTTGTGGGAGGAGATGCACAAAGTCTGTCAGACTCTGAAAGGGGTCACCGCGACTCTCAAATATAAGAGCTAATGGAGTGGAGGTCTTTTCCACTAAAATTCTTTTCCCTTTGAGCTACCAATAGAGATTTCAGTCCAAGAGAAAGTTTACTTTAGCATAGATTTGTAGGAAATAAATTTTGGAAATGGAGTGGGCCTGGAAGAAGGACCTGTGTTTGGGGTGATAATGGTGAACAATGGCATGATCAGCAAACTACAACCTGCAGGCCAAGTCCAGCCCACCCTGTTTTTGTAAATGAAGCTTTGTTTGCACACAGCCAAAAGCACTTTTCTGCACAATGTCTATGGCTGCATTTGTGCTATAATGGCAAAGTTGAATAGTGGAGGCAGAAATCTTACAGCTTCCAAAACTGAAAATATTCCCTGTCTAGCCCTCTGCAGAACACATTTTCTTAGCCCTGGATGGGGCACACTAGCGTCTTGTTAGAAGGTGGGAAGGGAGAACAGCAACACCATACTCACAAAGGACGACCAGCCCCCATTGTCCTCTTCATGGTTTTCTGTGGAAGCAAATGACACCATCAGCAGCACTCAGAGAAGCTGTCACTTGGAGAAAAGTCAAAGAAATTTCTCCATCTGATACCCCATCTCAGACCTTACTCCTGCCTTCTACATACCTGAAGTTAGCAATTGCTCTGCTATAGTTCGGGTACGATTTCCCTCACCAGAACTTGTGTTGAAATTTGATTCCTAATGAAATGATATTGAGAGGGAGTGGTGGAACCTTTACAAAATAATTAGGCTGTGGGGGCTTCACTACCAAGAACAGATTAACATCTTTCTCCAGACACTAGTTTAGCTCTCTCAAGACTGAACTGGATTTTACAGGACTGCTTTGGATCTCATGGGACGGGATTAGTTATTTCAAGAGTGCACTGTTTCCATCACTTCCACACATGCTTTTTTGCTCCTCTTGCATGTGCTTTCACTGCGTGATCCCATCTGCCATGAAGCCCTCACCAGAAGCTGAGCAGTTGCCAGTACCATGGTCTGGCCTTGAGGATTGTGAGCTAAATAACCTCCATCATTTATAAAGTAACCAGCCTCAGGTATTTTGTTATGGTAACAGAAAACCGACTAAGATAGCAACTAAACTATTAGCCATAGCATTCTATTTGAGGAACCTATTCTACTAAAGGGCAATTGTGGTATTCAATCTTTCCTATGTGTAAAACCCATCTAGAAGTGTTCCAAAATATGCAGTTACCTGGGGCCCTGTCCCTAGGACTTCTGATTCAGCAGGACTAGATGGGGCCCAGGATTCTGTGTATCAACACTATGTCCAAGTTAACAGTGAAAAACTGCTTTGAATCCTCAGAAGTAGTGGACTGCCTCAGCTCAGATACTCAGCCAAAGGCTAAGTCTTTCTAGGCTCAGGGCTCCCAGAGTTCCTCACTATGTCTCTGTAAGGAGTCCAGATAAGCAAGGACCTTAAGCCAGGTGCTCTGCAGAGTGCCATCTCTCTTCCCTTCATTTGGATCAAATCTTTTTCTGAATAAAAATTAGCTGACTAAGGGTCAGTCACCTGCAAACCTCAAGGAGCCTGAGGAACCAGAAGGCAGAAGACTCTATGTATCTATCACTCCCTAAAGCAATCACCTTTCAACCCTGACACCTTTACCTGTCTCTTCGGTAAACCGCTGGACTTGGGGTCTGCAAAGGCAAAGAATATTGTATTAATGGTGTGTTGATTTGCAGGGATCTCTCTCTCTTGCCCCCAGTCCACCCTGTGAGAGGAGTCCCTAATGGACGGCATGTCTTCTTGCCCAGAACTTGTGCCCTTGTTGTTTGGCAACCAGGGGTAGACTGCCCCCCCATTCTGGAAACCACCAAAGCCACATTTGTGGCACAGCTTGTAGCTTATGACTGCCTGACGTGGTTGGGGAAGTTCCCTTAATATTCCAGAACCTGGGGCAGGAGTCAGAGCAAAGAGGAGCCCCCTCCCCCTCCTCAGGCACCATCTTCAAGACCCCTGGGACTGAGGAGACTACCAAAGTTCAAACAGTTAGGCAAAGCCAGTTCCATAGCTTCCTTCTCAGGATCAACTTGGGTTCAAAAGTTCTTGAGTTTCCTTTGCCAACACTAAGCCCTGAGCTTCCCTACTCACTTGCGTGTGAAAATGCTCCTCCTCTCTTCATTCTTGTTGATTTCTTGACTTAACTTACTGAGAATCCTACAAGATAAAGAGACAAACAAAAAGACAAAATTTTGTTTCACCAGCCCTAGACTCTCTGCAGAGCCCTGAGTTTCCCTGGTCTACGTGACGGCAGAGCACGTGGGCCAACACTGGTCAGCCTCATTCCTTCATCTTCAAGGGGTCTCCTCACTTCCTGCTAGAACTTGCCACCTCTTTCCCCAGCACCAGACCTTGCACTGCCCTTGCTCCTGCTCCTATCCAAGCACCTCCCCTCTCTTCTCTGCTATCTGTGTCTGATCCTTCAAAGTCTATCTCGGCTTCCCTGGGCCGGGGATTTAGCTCAGTGATTTCGCTGCCTGCTGTGCAAGCGCAAGGACTGGAGTTCGATCCCTGGTACCAAAAAAACAACAACAACAACAAAAAAAAACAAAGGAAAGGCTTCCCTCCTTAAAGACTTGTCGGCCCATGCCAGGATCCCCCTGCTTTTAAATGCTAAGCTTTAGGATCTGCAACACATGGTTGTTTGGTGGGTTGGGTTCTTATTCCTGGGGCTGAGTCCTTTGACTTGCTTGAACATCACGGTGATGATGTTTCTCCCAGGAATCTTCAAAACATCTCATAGACCTAAAAGACATAGCTGCCCATTGCATTTTTCTTAGCAGAACTTATAACAGATTTTTCTTTGTCCTGTTACCACTGTCTATTCTCCCTTCCTTGTCTCTACCTAGTGACATGGATGGAGTCTCATAGAAACTTAGACAAGTATTCTCAATAAAAGTACAGCCTTCAGAGGGAAAGACTCCCTGTTATCAATTCCCTTAGGCCAGTCTTGGCCAAGATCCTTGAAGATACCCTGTCCTCAAGTACTTTCATGTCTGCACTAGCAAATCACCAGGCTCCAGAACAGAGAGGGCCTTTCCCATCAAAATCACAGGCCAAGCATGCCCTACATTCTAGATTCACCATCCATTATAGATTCAACAATCTGCAGGATGTGAGACTCCAGCCTCCCTTAACACCCATGCGTGAGACCCAGAGGTGTCTCTCATTAGTAAATACGCTCAGTGTTCCCTAAGATTTCGTGCAACTGAAAGTAACCTCAGTGATGATGTGGCCCAGTATTTTTTTCTTTTTACAGAAGAGGTTACAATGGTCCAGACAAAGGAAGGGACATAGTAGGTTAATGACAAGGGCCACCTATCTCCCCAACATACACGTTAGTCCATAAGCCAACCTCTCTAATTTCAAAAGCCAATATCCTTCCAACATACTGAATCCTGTTAATTCTGTTCATGATGCAAGCTCCCTGGGAGGGGACACTATTGCACCTCTGTCCATCTGTGAGAGTGACCTGTGGCCCATATTTCTTCTGATTAAAGACCAGCTCAGCATGGCTCAATTAGCAAATGCAGTCCTTGCCTCCTTCATCACTTCCCGAGCTCCAGCTCCCCCACTTCCTCCCAGGTAACTGTTGCTCAGAACCCTCCTACCTCATGGGAATGACAGGATAGACAAATGTGATAAATACACAGAGGACTTCAGAGGACAGAGAAGGAGAGAGGACAATGTGTAATCCTCTATAATAATGCCCTTGTTGGAATTTCAGACTTTAGTGACCACCTAGAGGAAGAGGTTCTTTAAAAAGAGGGAGGTGCTTCCTGGTTGATGCCTGATCACACCATCAGAAAGCCTGCATGACTATTTTTGGTTCACTTAAAGGAGAGTTGAGAGAAGCTGATGGGCATGATGAAGGTCTCCTATGGGGTGGTCAGGGGAGCCCCAGGAGTGTGCAGCATCCCGCACAGTTTTGGCAGCGTTGGCTGCAGCAGCCACTTCCATTTGATCATCTGTTTACTCAGCAACGGGCTCCCTTCATGTCAAGAACTCTTCTGAGCTCTCAATGTGCATCAGTATACACAGATCTCTACTTAGGGCTTGCAAAGAGAGGCAGACAAAAAACAAGGAATAGTTAAGGAGATAAAAATCCAAAGTCGGTATATACCATGTATACACACATGCGGTGTGGGGGCACTGGAAAGGGGAAATTGGAGTGAGGGAGAGAATACGGTTGCAATTTAAAACAATCTGACCTCAACAAACAGGTGATATTTCAGCAAAGCCTTGAGGAAGGCGGGGTGGCCTCCTCTCACGTCCCCACCCCACAGAGCTCAGCTGAGCTCTGACAGACTCACAGTGCTGCTGTGGATCTTGAAAGGTCTCCTGCTTTCTGTGGTGGCACTTCTTACCAGTATCTCTAACAGCCAGGCTGGGGGTGCTGGGGTTCTAACTGGGCAAGGAAGGAAATGCCAAACCGCAGGCCCCACAGAGGAGCAGCAGAGAGCTGAGAGCAGGATGGGGCCAAGCTATCCAGCTTGCAGCAAAACTTGGGCTCCCAGAGTCCTCCTGCTTTGATGGGCTGCCGAGAATGCCTTCCATACCAGCAGGAACACTGCTGGGGCAGGTGGCAGTGCTGGCAGCAGTGCAGGGAGGTGCTTGCTACCTCTGGGTGCAAACTTGCAAAAGTTACATTCCATCTTCGGAGGGCCCGGTGACAGTGAGTGGCTGAAGATGACTCATCCCCTTCCTGCCCAGAAACTCCAAGCCTCACTTCACACCAGAGAAAGAAGCAGAAAGGGGCTAGGCAGCCATAGACAGTGGTTCCCTCTGTTCCCCCCTTACTTGAGAGTTGTCTTGGCCTTAGAAATTGGGCTCAAACTCTGACAGGAAGTCAGGCCTGTGTAGGAAAGTAGCATTCTATGATGACCTGGGACTAGCCCATTTGCATCCCTAACTTGTTACCTATGGAGCCAGTCTTCATCATCATAGTGTAATGTCTTTCCTGATGACATACATTATATGGAAGGTGCAGGCACTGCAACTCTGATTATCGTGTCCTTCCACAAGGTCGATACCCTCTAAGTAACATCAGTTAGGCATCTGGCCTTCCTAAGCCCCAGATTCTTTATTGGTATAATAAGAGGGTTGAATCCAATTAGGGAGTTCCTCAATGGCCTGTTCATCAGGATTACCTAGCATCACCTCTTACAAACACTGATTACCAGGCCCACCATAGGTTTAACTGACAGAATTGGCAGAGAGAAGTCTGGTGATCAGGAACATCAACCAGCTCCAAGCAACTCTTAAGGATCAGAAAATCCTGTGAAATAACTTCTATCATTGTCAGCATTGATGAAATTGGTTTTATAAAAAAGAAGACGAGAGGGAGAAGGAACTTTGTAATTGCAGAGAATAAAGTTGAGGAGGGAAAGGTCTCAGTCTATCTTTGATGTGTTACCTTAAGTCTTCCTTTCAGTGGTTGCTTCAGCTCTACCAACTATGAACAAAGGTCTGCTAGCAGGTCTTGAAATCAAATTTTCACATTGCTCAAGAACCAAAAAAGAAAGAAAGAAAAAAAAAAGCAGGCAAGCAGAAGGCAAACAGGAAGGAAAGATGGTAGAAAGGAGAAAAGAATAGAAACGATCAGAACACACAGTAAGAGTAGGCATCGTCTCATCAAAATTTTATTTTTTGTTGCCAGTATAATCACATGTGTACCTGTGTACTGGCTTATGACAGAAAGTGTATGGTATGTCTTGTTGTAGCTTGTCCTGGAAGAGCTTTAGCTCAACTTTCCTCCTTTCCCTCCCATCTTGGCAGGCTTATCTCCTTGACTGGGATCTCAGACTGCCTGCAGGTCCCTCCCAGGACAGCAAGTCCCTGGGCCCTGCATCTACCCCAACACGGTCCTATCAAGCAATGCTGTCCAGTACTTCAGCCTCAGCCCCTCCTCCCACTACATGGGCTTTCGCTTAGTCTTTCTTTCTGCTCTGCATTCCATCCTTCCTTGAAGGAACAAAATATTCTCCCTTAAAAGACTTAAGAGAGCAGCCTCTTTGAGCCGAGAGCCAAACATTCCAAATTCTTCCTTGTCAAGTAAGAGACAGGGAGGAGCCAAGATGTCTGCCTTAAGACTCAGGAAGGGCCTTTGACCATCATCTTAGGCCTCGGAGGAGCACCATGCCCAGGTGGGAAGCAATAACCCCGGGCAGCACTGCATCCCCACTTCTCGCCCATGTCTTTCATGCCTACAGTTTTACATGCAGTGTTTTACCTGTGCCTGACAACCACGTGAGGGTCAAAAAATATAATGAATCCCATTTTGCCAATAAGGAAGGTGAGGCACTGACAGGTGCTTGTGAAAGGCCACATTTCCAGTGTCAATGTGGAGCCGAGCCACCAAGTCAAGTTCTCTGAATCTGGGTGGGAGGAAACCAAGCAGAAGTTGGGGGAAGCACCCTGGATGGAGGAGAATTGTGGAAGGTAAGGAGGGGTGGCTCTCTGGGCAGGGATTAGCCAAGAACAGGAAGAAGGAAGGGGCATGTTGGAGATAGGTCTCATAATTGTTTCAATTTTGTTGAGGCCTGGTTTTATTCTTTCATGAATGTAAGAATGTTCTTTTCACTTCTGAGTCTCTCCCTCTGCACCTTCCCCTCTTCCTCTACTCTGTCTTCTCTGTCTCAGATATAAAAGGAAGCACTAGGTAGATGAGACCTGAGGCCATCTCTGCTATTAGTAGACTCATAGCTTTATCAGGAAGAGTGGTAAAAGTTCCATCTTATTTCTCTTGTGAGATCTCAGATTTTCCCAGCCTGATTTCACTTTTGGTGATGGGTACAGTGAGAATTAACAAGAGTGTTATCTAATACGTATCTGCTGCTTAGATTACCCACCCAACCACTTCCTTCTCCTTATTTCTTAAGGTACAATGTGGATTTTAGTATAAAATTATAACATTTTCTCCTTTAATAAACTCCAAATAGGCATTAACAGACTTTCAACATGTATTTCATCAGACTATTCTCAGATAAATCATGAAGTTTAACCCAGGCCCTATAAATGGATGCTGCATTGTTTTCTTTAAGAGTACACCATTGCTACAACATTGAGGATGTCTCGAAATCAGCCGTGTCTTGACAGAGCACCTATATTTTCAGAGAGAGAGAGAGAGAGAGAGAGAGAGAGACTGCCTCATCAGA